GTTATTCCTGTATATCAGGCCTACATTCAGCCGCGGTGCGTTCACTGTCACTGTGACTCAGTGGTGCGTTCACTGTCACTGTGACTCAGTGGTGCGTTCACTGTCACTGTGACTCAGTGGTGCGTTCAGGGACACTGTGACTCAGTGGTGCGTTCACTGTCACTGTGACTCAGTGGTGCGTTCACTGTCACTGTGACTCAGTGGTGCGTTCACTGTCACTGTGACTCAGTGGTGCGTTCACTGTCACTGTGACTCAGTGGTGCGTTCAGGGACACTGTGACTCAGTGTTGCGTTCAGGGACACTGTGACTCAGTGTTGCGTTCTGGGACACTGTGACTCAGTGATGCGTTCAGGGACACTGTGACTCAGTGGTGCGTTCAGGGACACTGTGACTCAGTGGTGCGTTCACTGACACTGTGACTCAGTGGTGCGTTCAGGGACACTGTGACTCAGTGTTGCGTTCAGGGACACTGTGACTCAGTGGTGCGTTCAGGGACACTGCGAGTCAGTGGTGCGTTCAGGGACACTGACTCAGTGGTGCGTTCAGGGACACTGTGACTCAGTGGTGCTTAACACTGACACTGTGACTCAGTGGTGCGTTCAGGGAGACTGTGACTCAGTGGTGCGTTCAGGGACACTGTGACTCAGTGGTGCGTTCAGGGACACTGTGACTCAGTGGTGCGTTCAGAGACACTGTGACTCAGTGGTGCGTTCACTGACACTGTGACTCAGTGGTGCGTTCAGGAACACTGTGAATCAGTGGTGCGTTCACTGACACTGTGACTCAGTGGTGCGTTCACTGACACTGTGACTCAGTGGTGTATTCAGGGACACTGTGACTCAGTGGTGCGTTCAGGGACACTGTGACTCAGTGGTGCGTTCACTGACACTGACTCAGTGGTGCGTTCACTGACACTGTGACTCAATGGTGCGTTCAGGGACACTGTGACTCAGTGGTGCGTTCAGGGACACTGTGACTCAGTGGTGAGTTCAGGGACACTGTGACTCAGTGGTGCGTTCACTGACACTGTGACTCAGTGGTGCGTTCACTGACACTGTGACTCAGTGGTGCGTTCACTGACACTGTGACTCAGTGGTGCGTTCACTGACACTGTGACTCAGTGGTGCGTTCACTGACACTGTGACTCAGTGGTGCGTTCAGCGACACTGTGACTCAGTGGTGCGTTCAGGGACACTGTGACTCAGTGGTGCGTTCAGGGACACTGTGACTCAGTGGTGCGTTCACTGACACTGTGACTCAGTGGTGCGTTCACTGACACTGTGACTCAGTGGTGCGTTCAGGGACACTGTGACTCAGTGGTGCGTTCAGCGACACTGTGACTCAGTGGTGCGTTCACTGACACTGTGACTCAGTGGTGCGTTCAGGGACACTGTGACTCAGTGGTGCGTTCAGCGACACTGTGACTCAGTGGTGCGTTCACTGACACTGTGACTCAGTGGTGCGTTCAGGGACACTGTGACTCAGTGGTGCGTTCACTGACACTGTGACTCAGTGGTGCGTTCAGCGACACTGTGACTCAGTGGTGCGTTCAGGGACACTGTGACTCAGTGGTGCGTTCAGCGACACTGTGACTCTGGTGCGTTCACTGTCATCAAAGTGACTGCAGAAAGGTCCAGGTTACTCTTACAGTCTCTGATTAATCAGGAACGCCGGTCAGGAAACGGGAGCGAAGTCGGAGGATGCATTTGAATAATTATAGATTATCTATATAATATTTTAGTTATTTTTAATTCATTTTTGTATATTATTTATATTTTTAGGATTTTTTAAAATATTTTTTCTATTTCATAGTTTATGTTTTTTTTTTTTTTCACGTATTATTTTAGTTTTTCAATTATTTTAAAATGATCTAGTATTTAAAAATATTATAATATGATTTGTAAGCGGATCTCCGCTGCTTACGTCCTGATGTTCATCTGCTTCTGTAAATATCTCCTTTAGAGCTGAATGCATGAGTCTGGTCTGATTCTCCTCCTCAGATTTCTCCACTGATTCCTGCTGATCTCAGACCTGAAGCTGATCTCAGACCTGAAGCTGATCTCAGACCTGAAGCTGATCTCAGACCTGAAGCTGATCTCAGACCTGAAGCTGATCTCAGACCTGAAGCTGATCTCAGACCTGAAGCTGATCTCAGACCTGAAGCTGATCTCAGACCTGAAGCTCATCTCAGACCTGAAGCTCATCTCAGACCTGAAGCTGATCTCAGACCTGAAGCTGATCTCAGACCTGAAGCTGATCTCAGACCTGAAGCTCATCTCAGACCTGAAGCTCATCTCAGACCTGAAGCTGATCTCAGACCTGAAGCTGATCTCAGACCTGAAGCTGATCTGATCTCAGACCTGAAGCTCATCTCAGACCTGAAGCTGATCTCAGACCTGAAGCTGATCTCAGACCTGAAGCTCATCTCAGACCTGAAGCTGATCTCAGACCTGAAGCTGATCTCAGACCTGAAGCTGATCTCAGACCTGAAGCTGATCTCAGACCTGAAGCTGATCTCAGATCTGAAGCTGATCTCAGATCTGAAGCTGATCTCAGACCTGAAGCTGAACTGATGCTGATCTCAGACCTGAAGCTCATCTCAGACCTGAAGCTGATCTCAGACCTGAAGCTGATCTCAGATCTGAAGCTGATCTCAGATCTGAAGCTGATCTCAGACCTGAAGCTGATCTCAGACCTGAAGCTGATCTCAGATCTGAAGCTGATCTCAGACCTGAAGCTGATCTGAAGCTGATCTCAGACCTGAAGCTGATCTCAGATCTGAATCTGATCTCAGACCTGAAGCTGATCTCAGACCTGAAGCTGATCTCAGACCTGAAGCTCATCTCAGATCTGAAGCTGATCTCAGACCTGAAGCTGATCTGAAGCTGATCTCAGACCTGAAGCTGATCTCAGACCTGAAGCTGATCTGAATCTGATCTCAGACCTGAAGCTGATCTCAGACCTGAAGCTGATCTCAGATCTGTTCCTGCAGAGAGTCTGAAGTTTATGTAACGTTGCAGTCTCAGACAGGAAGTCGTGATCATCAGAGCGAGAGACTCTTTCTGCAGAACTAGGTCGAACATCTTATTTGAACAAGCTTTTAACATGCAGTGAAGGCACCGTGAGACGAGAGGACTGATATTTCTGATCCTCTCACCTGCACCATGCTTCACACTGAGTGATTGTAGTTGAATGATTGACATCCTCTCATTGCACCAGAAACACGCGTTGATTGAAGAGCTGCTTCTTCACAGCTTCCACTCTGAATACCTGCGTGTTCGTCTCTAACAGATAGACCGGGACGATCCTTACCTTCAGGTGTTGCCCATGTTCCTACTGTAGGGGTCGTACAGGAACGCTGTTTTTAAATGACTGGTTTTGTCCAGTTTGTAGAAGAAAATGTTCTGAAAGAAGCTTCGAGAAGGTGTGTTTGCACATTAGTGAAATATAAAATGTAATGTATGAACAGAAGATATAAATGTGTGTTATCAAAAGCTAGTTTGATCTGATCAGATAGTTTGTTACACCTCTATACGCTAGGGTTAGCTCACATTAGCTTACCCTAACCCTGTTTCTGTCAGTTAGCCGTTAGCTGCGTCACTTGTCAGTCTCCTGGCCTGGAGGACTCTGGTCTGCACGGAGCTCTTCAAAATGAGACACAAGAGACTAAACAAGTCTTCTTCTTGCTTTCAGAACATACGAAGTGTTTGTGTTGAAGCTAACGCTAGCTAAACAAAAGTGTAAAAGTAAAAAGTTCTTCTAGTCTGATTTATATTATGAAAACAAAGTTGGACTGTAATCAGATTTACAGAAACCGAGACTGAAAAACGTCTTGAATCTGATCTCCTTCGTAGTTCATTCCTTATGTATGCTTTAGCTAATGCTAGCTTAACCAAATGCTAAGCGGTAGTGCATTATATGTCCTTCTCCTGGATTGGAGGACCCTTACTAACATGAAGCCCATCCAAAATGAGACTCCTAAACAAGTGTTAAATCTCATCTCATTCGTAGTTCATACCGCCAAGTGTTAGTGTTGAAGCTAACGCTAGCTAAACAAAAAGTCAGAAGCTTTCTTTGGTAGTTTTTGTCCGTTAGCTTTGGCTAGCTGATTTACATAAAGCAGAGACGACAAAGACACGCAGACGAGTCTCATCTTAAATCTTGAAATCCTGAATCTCATTCCCTCGTAGTTCATACCTCCATGTGTTGGTGTTAGCTATAGCTAAAGCGCTCAGGTCAGAGTCATTCCGGTTCAGATGAAGCCCAGAAAGAGACAAAGAAAAGTCTTAAATCTTTTCTCAGTTGTAGTACAAATGTGTTTGTGCTAAAGCTAACGCTAGCTAAACCAAAATGCTACGTCTTCTTCTTCTTCTGTTGTTTTTGTTTACATTTAATCCGCACTGGTGAAGTAAACAACCCTTCATTCCAACTGGAGCACCGCTTTGTACATTTAGAAAACAAAGACACAAATATCAGATACATTTTTTGTTAATCTTGTTCAGACCTCGATGTGTTTGTGTGGGCGAGCTAAACTAACGTTGCATAGGTAAACACGTTATTCTTCTTCAGTGTTTTTTTTATTATTTTATCCTGGAAACTCGTCTAAAGCGTCTAAATGTTCTTAGGTGTCCGTTGGCTAAATGGAAATCAAGTGTTTTAAGGGGTTCATCATCATATCCTACAGTGTGCATCCAGGCCCTGTCTACTCCAACAGAGCAACCTAAATACATGAGAGATAGGAAAGGAACCCCCAAAAGCGCAGATATGAGACGGAAATCCCCCTGAAATCACACTGGATTGTGTCTGAGCCTCTGGAAACGACTGGTGTGTACATGGAGCATTCAGTGAAGGGAGCAAACATCAGGCGGAGGAATATTTTTAGGATCTTCTTCCAGCGCTGTCTCTCTCTCTCTCTGTTATCTCTCAGCCTCTCATCATTCAGAGAGGAGGAGGAGGAGGAGGAGGAGGAGGAGGAGGAGGAGGAGGAGGAGGAGGAGGAGACAGAGCAGAAACACTGGCAGTGTGTAATCTGCTGCTGGATTCTCTCCGTGGGATTATCTGCAATTTCCTCTGGGTTTTTATGGACGTTTCCTTCTTTCTTTTACCGCGTTTTTGTCGATTCGTTGAAGTCGTTGGACGTGTGATTGCACGACAAGACGTAACATCCCGAGAGACTTCATTCATTGCCGGAGCGTCAGTACTTGAACGCACCATCCGAAGGAGAGAGAATCCCGCCTGCAGCCATGTGCGTCTAAAGAAAAACTTAAATGGAAACGGATGAATCCCCCAGCATGCTTTGTGGCTTTTTCTCTGGGTTAAAAAGCAAGGAGTCGTGTTTGAAGCGAAGAAGGTTTCAACTTCCAAACTCCTGATTTATTCATCCAGAGTCCATCAATAATTAAAGGCTACAAAGTCGACAAGCAGAGCGTTCAGACCCTCCGACTGCAGAGAATCCAACTTCCTGCACTTTGAGGACCAAACGTGCAAAAATAAAAACACGTTTCTGCACTTTTTAAAAAACGGATTCAACAATTCTTCAGATTAGTCTGACGTGTTGTCGCTTAATCTGCTGTAGAGACGCTTCAGGATGTCGGCCAATAAATAATGAAAAATGTTTATTATTTCCTGATCTGTCTTATTAAGATGAGATAAGATGAGAAGTACTTTATTGATCCCAATGTGGGAAATGTTTGCAGTTCAGCAGCTTAAAAATACAAGGCATTGAACATTAGAGAAATAAAAAGACTAGAAGTAAACCATTCAAAATGTAAACACAAATAGAAATAAAATAGCATTACAAAAGGACTTTATTCTCGCTCAGTCATCGAAAACCCTCCGAAGAAATGTCGTCTGAGAGGAAACCAACGTGCTTCAAACCCTAAGGATGTACTTTCTTTCATCCTAATGTTTTTTAAGTCATCTTCTCTTGAAATCCGGACATGTGACTCAGCTGCGTCTCAACGTTTCTCCCCATGGAGCGACCGTAACACCTTCAAGACTCAAGACTCAAGGCTTTTATTGTCATTCGTACTGAGCTACAGTTTAGATATGGCAATGAAATCTGAGGCTCCTCCAACAGAGAAACACAATATAACAGATCAAATTGTAAATACAAATACAATAGAATATAAATAGTGCAGTAAGAGTCTATATACAAGTGATAGGAATATAATGTATTAGATACATAATGAGTAAGTTGCAAACAGATGGATGTTCGTCACAGAGTGCAGGTGTTTAACAGTCTTACGGCCTGTGGGATGAAACTGTCTCTGAGTCTGGTGGCTTTAAATATGATGTATTTATTTCAACAAGGACCATGCCTACAAACACATTCATCTCAGAAAAGAGAAGAGATTAATTAAGCCAGATTTGAGCTAATAGCTACCTTCCATCTGCAGTCCTTTTCGACCTGACCTTTCAGCCTCGCTGCCGTTTCCTATCGGACATGTTTGGTGTTTTTCACTGAAGAAGCGAGCGTCCTCAGAGGTTTGTTCCTCTGGTTCTCGGGGAGATGGCGGCGGCCATCGCCAGCTCCCTGATCCGACAGAGGCGTCAGGCCCGAGAAAACAACACAGAGAAAGTGACCACCAACAACAAGAGGAGGACGAGTCCCAGCAAAGACAAAGACCCGCGGTCTCTGTGTGAGAGACACATCTTCAGCGTCTTCAGCAAGGTGCGCTTCTGCAGCGGCAAGAAGAGGCCGGTCAGACGGAAACCAGGTGACCAGAACACATCAGAATCAAATCAGAATGCATAGAGTGGTGGTTGCAAGATCTCACATTCACCCGACAACTCAGCGTCCATAAGGTCTGTGGTTAAAACTGATTGATCCTCCACGAGATTAAATACGTCAGTAAATACTTTTTCACCCACTGGTGGATTTAACATCGGAGATTGCTAACAAGTGTCTAAATGACATGACTAAACGCCATCACGCCCAACATTAGCCTCCTTTAGCTTAGCAGTGGTGACGTGAAGACATGTGACCGTGCTGTAGTTCCTTTATAGCCCAACATTAGCCACCTTTAGCTTAGCGGTGGTGACGTGAAGTCATGTGACCGTGCTGTAGTTCCTTTATAGCCCAACATTAGCCTCCTTTAGCTTAGCGGTGGTGACGTGAAGTCATGTGACCGTGCTGTAGTTCCTTTATAGCCCAACATTAGCCGCCTTTAGCTTAGCGGTGGTGACGTGAAGTCATGTGACCGTGCTGTAGTTCCTTTATAGCCCAACATTAGCCTCCTTTAGCTTAGCGGTGGTGACGTGAAGTCATGTGACCGTGCTGTAGTTCCTTTATAGCCCAACATTAGCCTCCTTTAGCTTAGCGGTGGTGACGTGAAGTCATGTGACCGTGCTGTAGTTCCTTTATAGCCCAACATTAGCCTCCTTTAGCTTAGCGGTGGTGACGTGAAGTCATGTGACCGTGCTGTAGTTCTTTTATAGCCCACCATTAGCCTCCTTTAGCTTAGCGGTGGTGACGTGAAGTCATGTTACCGTGCTGTAGTTCCTTTATAGCCCAACATTAGCCTCCTTTAGCTTAGCGGTGGTGACGTGAAGTCATGTGACCGTGCTGTAGTTCCTTTATAGCCCAACATTAGCCTCCTTTAGCTTAGCGGTGGTGACGTGCAGTCATGTGACCGTGCTGTAGTTCCTTTATAGCCTAACATTAGCCACCTTTAGCTTAGCGGTGGTGACGTGAAGTCATGTGACCGTGCTGTAGTTCCTTTATAGCCCAACATTAGCCTCCTTTAGCTTAGCGGTGGTGACGTGCAGTCATGTGACCGTGCTGTAGTTCCTTTATAGCCCAACATTAGCCACCTTTAGCTTAGCGGTGGTGACGTGAAGTCATGTGACCGTGCTGTAGTTCCTTTATAGCCCAACATTAGCCTCCTTTAGCTTAGCGGTGGTGACGTGAAGTCATGTGACCGTGCTGTAGTTCCTTTATAGCCCAACATTAGCCACCTTTAGCTTAGCGGTGGTGACGTGAAGTCATGTGACCGTGCTGTAGTTCCT